ACAAGAAGCCGGAGACTCGCCACCGAGGCAGGTCGGCCTTCAAAAATGGGCCGGCCCCTTCGTTATGTGCCGACCCCCTTCGTCGATGATGTCGGGCTTCTAGCTATCTCACGGTCCGACCTCTCGTCTCGCTTGGGTTGTTTTTGCTCCCTATAGCCGTTTGGAGAGTTCTAGACCCTTTTAGGTGAGTCCTAGATAACCATCGTAAGACCCAAAGCATTGTGGGTAATACAAGAGGGAAGATGCCGGATTCGGCTCGGCTCGGTTTGGCTGACCATCTCGTTGATTCTTTTATGTTCCCTTGGTTGGTTTGTTTGTGGTTTTCCTTTGTATAACATAGATAAAAGAACTTTTAGAAATGACTAAAATATGAAAAGTCTTGTCGAAGCGAGCATAGCTCAGCGGTAATTGACATACATCTCCAACCAAGAGGTTGTGAGTTCGATCTCCCACCCCCACATGTTGTACTAAAAAAATATATATATGAAAAGTCCTATCAATCAAGAAAATTCAAGAGTAATTATCTAATTATGTAATTTAAATAAAGGTTTAAAATATCGATGTTGATGGAAATGTGAAGATCTCAATTTAATTATGCCATAATTGATTTTTTTGTGGGTTAAATTAATATTTATAATCACATTTATATTTATGGGTAAAAAAAATGAAAGGTAGAAATAGAAACAAAAAATAAAACTAATATCTAGGAGCAGTTGCAAATATGACAAAAAAATTTTAGTAAAATTAGCAAAATAGCAACCACATTTAGTTTTTTTTTTTTTTTAAATATAGCACTTTTTTTTTAACGAAAGACGGAGGTCCAATTTTAAAATGACAACTTTACCAAAATGAGATATATATGTAATATGTCTAACTACTTATATATGTATGTGATATACATATGATATACTAATGATACGAGTGTCTGATATACAATATGTATGTGATATATATATGATATACTACTGATATGTGTTTATATGCAATATATATGTGATATTTATCTAATATATTACTGATGTACTAATGATATAAGTGAAAATTTATTTTGAAATACATAAAAGATTTTTGTTATTGATTGCAATTTCCCGTACAATTAATATAAATAATAAATAAAATTAATATTTTACATAAATAAAATTAAAACAAAAGCTAAAACATGCTGCTTTAATAAAGGAATCTGTAAGCTTCAACTGCCACAAAAAATAATATAATGATATGGACGAATTTTCAACCTTTGATGATCTAGCAAAACTCGAATACGACGTTGTACCCAAAAAAAGAAAAAAGAAAAGCCATAAATAATGGTCGTAAAAGGATATTGTCCAAGATTAACCAAAGCTTCCAAACCAGACCCATAATGAACTTTCAACTGCCAAATACGCCTCTCAACAATAGGAGGGGTTGGAAGGAATAATCCATATTTATTATAAACCATTGTTAGGTCTCTTTTCATTTCAACGTGAGATCCTTAACAGGCTAGGAGGCAAAAATAAAATTTTTAGGGATGGATTAAAGTTAGGTTAAAAGTTGTGTCGCTTTTGATGTCGGGACATTAAAATTAGACTTACCATGTCGGGCTTGGCCCGACATTAAAACTTCATCAGTGTTTTTCTATCCGTCATTGTTTCCTCCGTGTTTTTGTTTGTCCGTCATTAAAATCCATATTTATTGTAGTCGAAGAATCTAATAGCGGGGCTCGTGTAACCATATTACATATGTTCGTGCAGCAATCAAGTCATATTTGGGATATTGCAGTGACCATTAGCAAATTTGTAAAACTCTTCCACCCTTCCCTTGCATATGTCCATAATTAGTCTTTACTTTATCACAACTTTTAGCATCTCCGAGTGCCTTTAACCAAAGTGGTACAAGAGTTTCTACTCCCTTTGGTTCTAAATAAATATTCAAGTAGAAGAATTTGGTGCTACAAAACTTTATGCCTAATTCTAAATTCTCAGAAAAAGAAATAAATGAGGTGACGAAACTCCAACAAGAAAAAAATACAAATGAATACAACTTATATATCCAATAGCTCAATCAAAGTTTAACAATTACCAACTCATTAATGTCATGTCACTATACGTTAGTTATATTAAACGGTAAACTGTAGGCATATTTTAGAATTATTTTTTAAAAGTTGGAGACCAAACTGTCACTTTTTAAAACTTAGAACTAACTTTAACAATTTTAATATACTAATATACATTTTTAAGGTTTTTATTTTGAACAATTGTATTATATTTATGAAAATCATAATGTACCATTTATTAAAATGAAATATCTACTTACTTATGATTTTGTGTATTTAATTATTTTATACTTGTTTTGTAAATCTTTTTTAGTCCTTTGATATTTTTAATTTTTATATATTTGATATTTAACATGTTGTACACTTATACCTCTATTGTGATACAAAATATTGGCTTTGCACATCTAAAATATACTTTATATTATTTTGAAATAAATTCTTTTAATAATATACTATTTTTTTTCAATAGTATTAATCTTTTAATACTATTGAAATCTTAAATTTGTTGTATCTTAGACTTGAAATCTTAAATTTGCTTATTTGTTTTAGTATTGTTGAGGAGCTGTGAATTGTTATTTATATTCTATTTTATGCTTTCATGTGTTAAAAGAGTTTTTTTTTTGTTTATATGTTGACTTTCTATTTACTGTACTTAATAGTTTTTTTTTTTAATTTTCTTATTGTGTATAATTTATGTTAATTTTATATAGCACTTGAAACAATAATTTATTTGTCATCAAGTATGATTATATATATATTAAATCACCTGCAGAAACAAACTTCAAATATATAATTTAATTTATCATTCAGATAAATCAGTAATAGAAATGAAACCTATAATAGGGCATAATTGAACTTGAATAATCTTATTTTAGTTCATTATTTAGGTTAACCAGTTCGTAGGTATTTTATTTTATAATTATTTGATTAGTATTTGATATTTATTTTATACATGTTTTTATTTTGTTTGATATTTTGTATTTTAATGATATATATCACTTGTATTTAATATGTTTTATCTTTATTTGTAATAATCATATAATATATAGTTTATGTATTTATTTGCAAATAAATTCTTTTAATAATATAATAAGATTTGTTTTAAGGAATATTATTAATTTTCATGTATGGATAAAACCTCAAATTTGCGAACTTTTGATGGCTTGTGAATTTTTATTTATTTAATTTTCATTTATTAGAGTTCTTTTTATTATTATTACTTTTTATATATTGTCAAAGCTATATATATTGGACCATGAGCTTTTTTTTTTAAAAGTTTTTTTAAATAACTATTCTTGAATGGCCAGTTTTTATAAACAAATTATTGATTCATACACTGTTGTTGCCTTGTTGGTAGTAAATATGTTTTCTACTTTTGTTATGATTTATTCTTACAAATTTTTTACTCGTGTTAATTTAATTGATGCATTGAAATTTATTTTAATTATTATTTTAAATGTTAATATTCATTTTGAGTGTTTTTATTATTATGAACACATCTACTTATTATTGTTTTTTTTTTGAGAATCTATTTATTATTGTTATTACTATTTTAATGTAAAATTGAAATACTCATTTCTAAATCAAAGCATAAAAGTTTGTAAAACCCAGATAGACGTCGACTTAAAAAGGCCAAAATACTCACCATCGTGACCCCATTGAAAATTATACCTAATATTTCACAAATATCAATTCTTTTAAATATTTACAAATCTAAATTTTGATATTTGAATTAAGATTTTTTAACTTCCCTCATTTAATTACGTTTTTACATTTATATATAAATTTTAAATATTTTTCTTTCTTTCACGAGCTGATGTCATTTAATACTATACTAATATTTTTATTAAATGTTAAATCTTGTAATTTAATTATCATTGTTTTGTATTTTAATTACCTAAATTCAATATTGTTTCTAAATTTCAGTAAAGACTCACGAAGTCTATTTTCACGTACCATTTCTTAATTTTACTTTGGCAACATTTTTGGTTCAAGCTCCATATTCATGATGCCGTTTTCCTTCCCTTTTTCAATAAATTCGGCAACATTTTTGATCTATTCAAGGAACCTTTTCTAATTTTCCGACCATCCATCACTTTTTTGGGGTCTCGTTAATTTTTCAGGCGCATTGTTAGTTAGGTTATATAATATATATATACATTGAATTTATTAAGGATCTCAAGATAAGGAAATCTAACAAAGGTTTATAATATATGGAGTTACTCCTCTCGTTATCAATTAATTTTGAGATAGAACCCCATTAATATTAATATGGTATTAGAGCTCAACACAATCAAATGAGCGTCCGATCAAAATATGAGATCCGACTAATATTGATGAACCTAAAAGTGAAATAATTCCATTTTCCAACGAACATTATATATTAATTTATAAAATTGGAAGTTTAGGTGTCAATTTTTTTAAAGATTGAAGGGTTTAATTTTTACACTTAAAACTTAAAACTTTATGAGTGCAATCTATCACTTGTAAAAGTTTAAGGATCCATTTCTGGAAGTTCAAATGTTCAATTATAACAATCATAGTACATTCAAGGTGATTTTGTGAAATTTATCTTTTTTTAATCATGTTTAATTATTTCCTTTTCTAATTCATTTACCTTTATTTAAACCAAACTTATCTATGAATACCATAGCCATAGCACGAACTTAGGACCCTGGAGATTGAAAAGGATCTAGTGGCTATTGCACCACAACAATATATTAAAATATAAATTGAAAATACGTCAATTGGCAAGCCACCACCTTTTCGAAAATTTTGCCACATCATTCGATGGAAATCTCTTCAATAGATGATTTCATAATTACAATATTTTCAAAATTAGTTTAAGAAAAACTATTCTTCCATAATTTCTTATTTTAACATTTTTTTTTAAACTCATCCTGTTAGGTAGACAGTGAACTAATGGATTTTTGTTTCACTATAAATATAGGTCCTGAAAGAGCAGTTCTAACATGTAAATTTCCATCATTGCATATATACCATCCCGCAGAATGCAAACTAGAATTCCCACAATCATATATTACATCTTTTTCCAAAGAGAATAAAAGGTCTTATTGCAGGACCTCTAAAATAATCAATTACAATGGCTAGACTTTCGGAAGAAAATTCTCCGACCTAAGTGGATTAAAATTTAAAACACTACAATGTTAAATACTTCATTACATGTTTCAAGAAGGAAAAAAAGAGAAAAAAAAAAACTTGTACAAGTCAACTTTTTAACCCGGATTTCACAAGTCAAAAAATAGAAGCAGGATCACCTCTTTCCATAACCAACATGCCGCTTTAATCCTCCAATCTTCGCAAAGTAGTTTTTAGCTTCTGAAAGGCTTTCCTTACCAAGGACTAATGAGTTCCTTTTTCATCTTTTCATCCCCAGAAAGTACGAGTAACCCAAGCTTATACGGCTATCGCACGACCACCAAGCAGCATGGAAGTAATTACTATATCATCTCCAATAGCCACAAAAAATCTGACCTGAGCTTGGAAGGAAAAAAGAATCAATTATATGGACAAAATTTTAACATTTGATGATCTAACAAAACTGGAACACGGCGCTGTACCCAAAAAAAAGGGAAAAAAGCCATAGATAATGGTCATAAGTTATGTAGGATATTGCCAAGATTGACCAATGCTTCCAAACCAGCCACATATTGAACTTTCAACTGCCAAATACACTGTTCAACAACAGAAGGAGCATTAGCAGAAGAGTCTAAGAGCGGGGGCTCCTGTAATGATATTATAATATGTCATGTAGCAATCAGGTCACATTTGGGATATTGCGGTGACCATCAGCAAATTCGCGAACTAGACGCTTCAGAACTCTTCCACCCTTCCCTTGCATATGTCCATAATTATTCTTTAATTCATCACAGCTTTTACTGTCAAGGTAGTCAGAGGCTGCATCTCCAAGGGCTTTTAACCATAGTGGTACAAGGGTTTCTACTTCCCCTGGTTTTAAATATTCAAGCGGAAGAGCCTGTACCTAGAAGAACTCGATGTCTTTAATAATCAAAATTCTAAGTTCCAACAAAAATAAAATAAGCAAAAGAAAAAGTCATATTTGGTTAGAAATATTAAATTGTGTGCTGATTTCAATTTTAATTGATAGAATAGCAGCCATGAGTTTGCAAAACTGAATTAGTTATAAAGATGTCGATCATCCTATTCTCAGTGTCCTTTCTCTTTCTTGTTGGTGGCAGATTTTCAGTATTTTATAGGTGCAGATGCTTTTACTGATAAATGATAACGACTTTGTAATCTGTTCTAGTGAACTATTATTCCAGCCAGATGACAAGGAGAAATTCTTTAACCCAAGGCTACTCTTTCAAAAATTTGGAAAGAAAGTTCCAAACTTTTTGGAATAGTAGGATCTTATTCATTCTATGGCTTCTAGTTTGAGTACTATTTGCTAAATTCTTTTTGTAACTATTTTCCATCTTTGTAAAACTCGACAAAGTAGTACCTATAGAACAGATCATGTTCAAGTAAGGTTGTGTAACTATTCTCAGTCTTTAATAGGTGCTAATATGAGAGTTCTTTTCATTCTACCATGAAACGTTTTTTCGTATCCCAAAAATTTTAATAACACTCATGAAACCGGTAATGAAGTAATACATAGACAAGGTGCATATAAATTAGCATTAATCTGACAATCTTAATACAACATGCACATGCATTTGGGCATTGGCATATCATAGAGTATTTATGAAACATGGTCACATTTACAATGAATCTTGATAGCAATGAAAGTAGAGATTCAAAAGTCAACAGAAGTTGAATTTCCTAATAGCTCATTTATCTTGCATTCATATGGAATATGTAATAAAACTGGAAGGACCAAGTCGACCTATGTTCTGGAAGTAAAACAAAGTGCCTGCATATTAGTTAGTCATTCGAGCTTCAGTAGTACAGCTCGACTTGACCTACTCCTACTGTAAAGAAATCTTGACATCATGGCAGTCCTTACACTAGGAAGAGTGATTTACCAATTACCATTATAGAAAATATACAAATGCTTGGCTGGAGAGAGTTTCATTTAATAATTAGTTTTCTCAAAATGTAGCTACTGTCTCTTGTTTAAACATCTAGTTTGGTCCTCTGAACCTTTGGTTCTTTTCTTTATCAAATCTTTATTTGGTTGGTTATGCTCTCCTCTCCTCAGGTTATAGTCCATATATATATTCTCAGAAAGTTATTAAAAATTATATTCATAAGAAGGTAAAATTTAGGAGAACCAACACAATGATGTTATTCAAATATTTTGTCCCAAATATCTTTTTGTACTGAGGCCTCAATAGAGTGTTCCATAAAATTAGGGGAGTGAAGATATGAATTCTGTCCTTTACTAGGTTGCTTTGACAAATATCCTTGAAGGATTTTTTGGCTTGTAACTTTCTACCTCTTGATTGTTTAAGTAAATTCTTCATATACATTGTGTGATAGAGGTTGGTTTCTTTGACAAGGCTTTCTTTTGGTCACCTTTGAGAACATTTAGTTCGAAAGGAATAAGAAGATTTCTGACAGTGTAGAGAGTGATTAAGAAGATTTTTGGGCTATTATTCATTTTGTTTAAAATAAGAAACTCAATTTGATCGAGAGAGGAGATATACTGACCTCTAGCTGGTTAGTAAAATCGAGAGAGGGTAATTACAAAAATATCCAGATTTAAGAGCCCAAAACAAGACATAAAGAAGACATTATCATTAAACAAATGATCACGTCTTCTCATCATAAGACTCTTTGATATGTATCTTATTTAGTAGCAAAGGATTCTCCAAATGAAGATTACAACCTACCAAACTAGAGGCCCTATTAAACATGAATCACCCACGAACCCAAAAGCTTAAGTTGATGGGTTGAGATAAATTTAATCACTTATAGGATATCCAACATGCCTATTCAAAAGGGGTGTAAATAAATTTAATCATTTATAGGATATCCAACATGCCAATTCAAAAGGGCTTTAATCTCACCTTGGTCTCTCCGCACACTCTTCTTCACTTGCACAAAACAGCCCTATTGTTATCCTTATCCCAAAACAAGTTACAAGTGACTTACTAATCACCTAACACAGCTATCAATCAAAGTCAAATGACTATCCTAGAGAAGTAACATGAGAGGTATTTCCCTTCTGCCCTTCCTAAGAGTAAACTACTATGCAGAGTCAATATTTGAGAGAAAGAGAGAGAACCGCTGATAGTAGCCAGCCATGCAAAGATTCCCAGCGGAGGACAGCTTTCAAATCCGTTCTTTCACTGATACTGCAAATTGCTGCCAATTGTTGCAGAATAGTTGCACACTTGTGAACCTGATAAAGACACCATGTGTAAACTTGATGGCACGCCTTGAAAATATTATATTAGACAATAAACAATTTCTCTCACATGAGAAATTTACGAAAAAGGTGATAAAAGAAGGACAAAAAAATTACAATAGGCCTCCAGTTGGTGCCTATGGAACATAAAGAGCAGTTATAAAAATGTTTTACTATCCGATTCCAAGAGGTACAGGATGAAATAGAAACTAAAAGATCCCATTATTGAAGATTTTTCTCTTTCTTCAATTCATAACTCCTAGGAAACAACATAAAATACATTATTATACACACAAAAGGTCATCCTCATTTACGATAAGGCCCCCAATTATGTAGAATAAAGAAGACGACGACGACGACAATCACAAAGAGGAACAGCCCATACGAATCATTGACATTATGCACCAAAATATTGACTATTTCAAGTACTCATATCTCAGGGGAATTACGTCCATATGAGATATCAGACTTCCAAGCTTCTTTTGAAAATGCTAAACTACGTATTCCATTTCTACAAATATATGAAATATCAGGCACCAACAGTTCTTTTGAAATGTCAAACTACGCATGCAAGGTACATATGCGTATTTTGTTTTTACCATAAAAGAAGGTTACTTGCACGCCAAAAAAAAAAAAAAAAAGAAAGAATTTGGACATACATTCATGCATATACATTTAAATAGAAGCTTACCCGTGACATTGCTGAAACACCAAGCAAAGCATATAGAATGTTTGATACAAGCCCCTCGCCGCTGTGGGATATAACTCGAATAACCATAGAATCAAATGGTCCCTCAGAAATTGTACTCGCTAACTCTAACATTGATGCTAGACTAACATCCAAGAAACCTAAAAATTCATAACAATAGAGGTAACAAGACTCAAACTATTTATGAACAAGTGAATAATGGCAATGAAAATCAAGCAAACAAGAGGAAAGAGTCAGGTAGGATGGCTTTCAGGTAACATGTACTTTAGCGTAAGTTTCAATTACCTGTTTCTTTTCTGCTAGTTAGTTCATTTGTTTAGTTTGCTTTTATTTATTTATTTGGGGTAAAATGAGGCTTTGCGTAAAGATAGCAGCACGAGAAGGCAACCAAAAAAGATGCGGCAGAACAAACCAGTGTTTTCAAGGCACAAGGTGCACTTCAAGGCAACGAGCCTCCTTATCGCCTTAAGGCGAGAGGTGACAAAAAGGCGTCGACTGAGTGAAGTGAGGTGCACTTAATAAAATAATAAATAAATATTATATATAGCAAGTATATATATATTTTTTTAACAAGAAACGAACTTTTCATTCATAAATGAAAAGGAACAAAAATTGTTCAAAGATACATACCCCAAAGGGGTGAAATGAAGGGGGATGAAGAAGGAAGAAAATAAAATCATGCTAGGAGAATAATTTGCAAAGAGATTGGAGAGAGCACACCATTGTGAGGCTTTGAACTTAGCTATATTGAAGCATTTTAAAGCTGAGCGGCTTTTCTCTTCGAAAGTCCTTTGATTTCGCTCAAACCATAACTCGAATAAAAGCTTATAGCAATTTTATGTATTAAAATTACTCTTAGATGAAAATATTTATAAATCTATTTAAAGGGCAAACAAATTTTAACTTAAATAATTAAGTAAAATAAAAAATATAAATTTAAAAAGATATTAATAACATTAGTGGTTAAATAGAATACTAAAATTAAATAAAATTTAAATCATAAATTAACTTAAATAAAAGAATTTATTTCCCTCTTGCTTTTTTTGCCGGATCGCAAAGTAATTGCATGCAATTAGTGCCTTGAAAGCCTAAAAGGGAATAGGAAAAGACTCCACCAAACATCAAATACCAAAATCTTTTTAATTTTTCTTCTACTTCTTCCTCGTTTACGATTATTCTTCTTCTTCTACTTCTTCTTTTCCAAGCACAACCCGTTCATAGGTGAGTGAGACTAAATCGTTTAGTTGTCTACAAAGAAAGGAGATGGCTTCATAATCGTGCAGCGACTAAGCAAAGGCAGTGGCAGTGGCAGCAGTGAAGGATGAAGCAGCAGTGGCGAAGGAGGAAGGTTTTCGGGTGTGGGTTTTCATCTTTTTAGGGGTTCTTCTGTGAGTTTTTAACATTATAACAAAAAAGAAAAAACAAGAGTCGCCTTGCTTCGAAGAGGCGCTCGCCTCACCTTATGGCAATGGCGCCAAGGCGTGGCAATGGCGCCAAGGCGCACAAAGGCAAGCGCCCGATTGAAGGCGCTCGCCTCGACGCCGTTTAAGGCACGCCTAGGCCAAAATGCCCCACCCCTCGTATTAGGCGAGCGCCTGGGCGCGCCTTGAAAACATTGGAGCAAACTAGCCTGGTTGTTTTTATGTTAACATGGTTTTTCTCTAAATGGGTTTTCCTTTGTAGTAGAAAGCTATTACATAAAATACCATTTGGTTTACCTTCTTCTTCTTCCCCATTGACCCGTTGGTTTACCTCTTTGACCCCTTGGTTTACCTCTCTTTGAAAGATTAAAATTCCAAAGAAGATTAAGTTCTTTAGGTGGCAAGTTGCCATGGCAAGTCTTACTTGGGAAAGTCAATACCTTGGATCGTATCTAGAGGATGTCTTCCTTTTGAATGGGCCCACAGCGGTGTGTTCTCTGTAGGAGTGCCTTAGAAGACCTCGAGCATTTGTTGTGGACTTGTCAGTTTGCGCAGGATTTATGGTTTCGTTTCTTTACGTGTTTTGGGATGACCTAGGTCTTGCTAGAGATTGCAGGGGGATGATGGAAAAGGTGCTGTTATACCCTCCTTTTCGTGACATGGGTCGTTTTTTGTGGCATGCTTGTTTTTTTGACTACTTTATGGGGTATTTGGCTAGAGAGGAATCGTAAATTGTTTAGGGGGTGGAGAAATCAGTGGACTATGTGCGGGATCTTATTAGATTTAATACTTCGTTAAGGGACTCGGTTTCTAAGTCATTTTGTAATTACTCGTTAGGCCTCATTCTTTTGGATTGAAGTGCTTTTCTTTAAGGGGCTTCCTCTCTCAGGGCTATATTTTTGTAGGCCCGTTTTGTTTTTCTTGTATCTCTTTTCATTTTTCTCAATGAAAGTGTTGTTTCTCATTAAAAAAAAGAAAAGAAAAGAAAAGAAAAGAAACATAATAATTTATGAAATTTGGCTCATTTCTCTTTAGCTCTCCATCATTCAGTACCATAGCAGCAACCTAGCCTTGAATAATGGTTGCCTATTCAGATTTGATGAAAAAATCCCTGTGCACGATGATCACACAAACGGTCTTCCTGATATTTTGTTCAGTATGAAGCATCACAGAGAGTGGGCCCAGGCTTTGCATATCCAATAGATTGACGAATGGCTTTCTCTAGGTCATGGGATATCTACAATAGATTTGCATCTTATAAAATCCTTTACCGAAGGGAGAACTTCTAGTCTAAGAGTTCAAACACTTCAAGATATGGACCAATAACCTATGAGTTCAAAGGAGCATGAGGCTTGGGATTTTGCTTTCTTATCTTAGGAAATGACTTTAGCTTCGTATCTGAGCTAGAAAATCTATTCATCGAACTGAATCAACCTCTTAACAAGCTTGAGTACCAACCAGACTCCTAGAGAAACGATGAATATTGAAAGTGCATGAGTGTTATTTCTTGGATTGGATCGAAAAGAAGGGTGGGAGCAAAACAAGAGGCCCATGCATCCACGTGCCTCGACACATGGTGGCATCAGAGAAGATAACATGTGAGGCTCACATGGAGCTTCAACAAGTGAATGATAATGGTATTAAATTATATTTGTTAAACTATAATACACCGTTATTTTCTTTTAATTTCTTGCTGCATTTAGGTTCCAATAGATAAGGGTTTCCTTGTTCTAATAGGTAAGGTTTCCCTATTCTAATAGGCAAAGATTTCTTTTTCCTTTTTTGATTCTTCTCGGTAGTTGCTATTTAGTATACATTATACCAATTCTTTGAAAGTAAGAATTATTTTTTCTAATCTATTATTATTGCTTTATTAATAAGAAAATCCACCAATAATAACACTCCTTGATAGCCAAAACCGAGAAGCAAAGAAGTTGTTAATAGGATACACGAGGAGACATTTCAGATTCCAAAGAGAGCAACAACTTTAAATGAGAGCATTCAGCCATAAGAAAAAAGAAAATGCACCAAAAAGATCCTTCGAAATAAAAACCCCAACCCCAACCAATGTGAAAAGGGCATCTTTGAAGGCTTTGTTGTTGGAAGTAATCATGTTCCCATCTCTCATCTACAATTTGCGGATGATATATTGCTGTTTTGTAAAGATGATGATGAAATGTTGGAAAGCCATTTTGCAACAATTAAGGCTTTTGAATGGCTATCTGGAAAGGTGAATTGGACAAATCTTCACTTAGTGGTATCAATATCGACCGTCAAAAGGTTGAATTAACAGCTCACAAATAGAATTGTAAGTTTGAATCTTTGCCCATTATGTATTTGGGGCTGCCTTTGGGTGGAAATCCAAAGTTTGATGTCTTTTGACGCCCAATCAAAGAAAAATTTCTTGATTGATGGAAGAGAGATCATTTGTCTAGAGAAGGAAGGTCGACTTTGTCATTCTGTCAGGGAGCATCCCTCTGTATTACCTCTCACTTTTTAAACTTCGTATGCATACAAGCAAATTGAGAGGAGTATGAGAACCTTCTTTTGGGGAGATAGTTCCCGTGGTTCTTTGAAGCACCTAGTTCGTTGGGATGTTTCTTGCAAAGTGGGGATGGCGGTTTAGTATGGAAATTAATGCTTTGTGGCGTTCAGTAATTGCAAGTTTTTATGGAACTGACGGCTTTGGGTGACACACTCTGGAAATAAAGAGTGGAGGGTGTCACAGTACATGGTTCAACATTCAAAAGCAATGGAACCTAGTGAAGCATTTCTCATCTTACAAGGTTAAAAATGGGTGACGTATCTTATTTTGGCATTCGCCCTTAAAGGTTAGGTTTCCTTCCTTATTTCGAGTGTCTTCAAACTCTCTCATCTCGGTGCATGTATGGGATGTTTCCTCATCTTCCTGGAGGTTAGAGTTTAGAAAACTACTTAAAGATGATGAAATAGCTGAATATGTTGATTTGTTATGAATTTAGAACTCTATTTCTTTACATGCTAGATGCTGCTGGGGTATTTTCTGTCCGTTCCCTTTGTAAACCGGAAGGCCTTTCTGTGGAATTACCCTCAGATTTTTACTCTAAGTTATGGAACCCATGCAGCCCCAAAAGGGTTAATGTTATTATATTGATACTGCTATATGGTAAGGTGAATACGGCAGAGGTGCTCCAGAAAAAGATGCCCACAAAGGCTCTCCATCCTTCATTTTGTGTTCTTTGTGAGAGAGCTGAAGAAAATCAGATGCACACCTTCTTTTTGTGCCCTTTTGCAGCTGGTTGTTGGGCTGTGTTGCTGCATTTATTTAATCTCTCTTGGGTTTTAGATAAGGACTCCTCAAAGTCGAATTTTCAGTTGATGTTTGGCTTCCGTATGCATCCTAAAGCAAGTCTTCTCTAGGTTAATGGCTCAAAAGCCCTCATTTCGGAATTATGGTTTGAGCGGAATAAGAGGAATTTTGAAGGACACAAGAGGCACCTGATGGAATGTTCCAAGTTCCAACATGGCCAAATTTAAAGCTTTCCCAATGGTGTGCTTTCCAATATCTTTGCAAATTACTCTCCTAGCATGATCTACTCTAATTGGGAAGCTTTTATGTTCCTTTTCATATATCAATAAAAAATTCGTTTCTTGTTAAAAAAAAAAGAGATAGATACTTCAGCACTTCTAATTTGCCTTTTTTTTTTTTTTTTTATAAGAAACAATAGGCGGGGATCAAAATGGCCCCCTAAAGAGCTAATACATTATAGCTTCCAATCTCGAGAGAGTAAAGCTATATTGTAATTACAAAAGAATCTCCTATTTGTGAGGCACCAAGTAAGAGCTCGGCTACTGCAACTCCACAACGCTTCTGCTTTCCCTTTTAAAGATCCCCCTTGAACAATTTCTAAGAGCCAATCATCTATCATTCGAGGTAAACATTGGTACAGCTCACATTCCTTCAATAAAAAGGACCACCCACTTGTTGCAAACTGGCAATGAAGGAAAATGTAGTTTATTGATTCTCCATTACTAAGACAAAGCGGGCATGCCGAGGGCGATAAAGCCCAATTCATCAGTTTTTTTGTAGTTTTTCGTGGGTGTTGATGCTTCTATAGGCCATGCTCCACAAGAACACCTTCACTTTCTTTGGGCAATTAAATTTCCAAATCCTTTTAATGAAGACTAGGTAATAAATCTCTTCTCACCACTTAAAGCCCATTCCACCTTGTCTTCACCATTCCCTAACGAAAAGAATTCAGGAGATCCACCAAATGGATCCAGCTTTGCACTTCTCGATCCAAGATACCTCTTCTGAAGCCTAGATTCCAATCTCCCTGTTCGCTGTCCCAGAAATCAGCCACCATGCATTCTTTCTTCATGGAGATATGGTACAAGTCAGGAAATTTAATTTCAAAAGGCATGTTCCCGAGCCAATTGTCCTTCCAAAACTTGATTCTACGCTCATTTTGGACCTTAAAAGAGAGAAAGCTCATGAAAGAATATCTCTGCTGCTCGATGGCCACCCAAGGTTTTCCTCTACTGCTTCCTTTGGGCGGGTGAGGCAGCCAACCATGATTCTCCATGCCATAAATGGTTGTAATCACTAGCTTCCACAGAGGATTGCCTTCTTGAGTGAAGTGCCACAGCCACTTTTGAAGGACATTGTTTTTTCTTTGAAACCACCCAGGCCTAAGCCACCATAATTTTTCGGTAATGAGACTTGATCCCAGCTCATCAAATGACGACGGGGTGGCATCCATTTCCATTCCAAAAAAAATTCCGAACAATCCTCCCCATCTCCAAAACCCCTTCCTTTTCTTCTTTCTTCTCTGGATACCAGGTCAAGATCCCTGGTTCGGCTTGGTCGAGGACACCATTACCTTGTTGCTCGCATCGTGATCGATGTAGATTCTTCCTCTCCAGAGCCCCGACCTTAAGGCTGCTGTCTCTCATGCCACTGCAGAATTGGGGGTTCGCAACAACTTTGACAAATTTCTGCAAGAGCTGGCAGATCATCCACTCTTCCCTGAAGCAAAGCAGGTTAACATTGAAAAGTTGCGTCAAGTGCCTAGGTTTATCCCCAGAGAGTGGCCACAATCCTTGCTTCACTTAAGTTCGGTATATTTGATGAGAACAATAGTCTAGCCAGCCTTAGCCAGTGATCCATACACTGTCGATCAATACATAGCTTCCTTTGTTTGGAGCTTTGAAGGTGGAGAAAGCATAGAGGGGCAAACTGTTAAGAACCGAAAGCACCATAGTGAGTCTCCCTCCTTTGGAAAGCATAAGGTTTCTCCAATTAGCTAACTTAGCCCTGAATTTGTCAACTATCTTCCCCCCAACGGCACTCCCAAGTAGTTATGGGCAAACACTCTGCCTTACACCCAAAAACCTCAGCTTGTTTTAACAACAGCCCTTTCTCAATATTAATCCCGACCAGCGAAGTCTTCTCCAAATATAAGGAAAGGCTCGCACCCTGAAGGAAAATCTGCAGAAAAGTCCACCATCTTTCTAGGTTATCTTCAACATTCTGACAAAAAATAATAGTGTCATCCGCATATTGCAGATGTGTGACCACAACATCATTGCTGCCAATCGAAGAGAGCCTCTTAAGAACCTTTTTTCACAACAGTAATGAATAGAGCAGCTTAGAGAATCACCAATAATGGTGAAAAGGAAAGGGGATAAAGGGTCTCCTTGCCTAATCCCTCTCTTTGCCAAAATTCTCCCTCTTGGCTTGCCATTAATCATCACCGACAAATTAACAGAGGAGAGACAGCCTTGCATCCATCTCCTCCATCTTTGGCCAAAACCATTTAACTCTAGAATAGCATCAAGGTGACCCCAATCGACCTTGTCTTGGAACACCTTTTCTGATTTCCATAAGACTCTCCAGCTTCTTTGTAAAGGTTGCATGCAAATTTACTTGGATATTCTCACCGAAATTTAACTTTTCAAAGGTAATAACTATTGCTGGCTTGGAAGAGGCTGAATAATTCTTTTAGACTTCTTAGAGTCTAGGGAGAATGATTTATCGTTTGGCCTACCTTTTAATGGCACTTGGCCAACATTTAAAGCATCAACAAGATCAAACCTACCCTTCTTAAGCCTATCATTTAATGTTGCGTTACCGACCACCATAAATGTATGAGCAGCATGGATGCCTTTCTCTTCTAAGTTAAAAGTAAAGTTTGAGACTCTTCAACTTCTAAACGAGCAACTTCGTCTTTCAGACATGCATCTCCATCTTCAAGCACCAATTTGATACGATTGATGTCCAAAATTGTTTGCTACGCATTAAATCTGATCACTACTTAAATTTAACATAAAAGAGACCAATTTTCTTCCATTTACCATTTCTATCCAGACCTTTACGAATCCTTCCATCTCCCATCTTTAAAAGAGCCTTGTCACCCATAAAACGGTTAGCTAGATAATCTACCTCAAAATTCTTCTTCAAAGCAATAGCAATCCCCTTCCAATTATCGTGCGCTTTAAGTCTAGAGATAACCATCAAAGAGTTCCAGTCTATTTCAACCACTTCCCTTTCTTTTTTGACCCCAGAAACTTAATGAACATCTTGTTTGATTGAAAAATTGATGCAGTCTTGTACAAGGAATTCTTGAAGAAAACTTAGAATAGCTTTACTAAAGAGATCAGCCCTATTTATAGAAGCTGTCTACTAACTGATACACGGTAAAACAAGTTACTGTGAAGTAACTTAGCAACTAACTAAAAGGCTACAACTTAACTTAGGAAAAGCGTACATAACAACTAACTACCACATCAAAAAGAATCTTCATCTTCAACTTCTTCTAATTTTTTAAAGATTTTCAAGAGTTCTTCAAGGTTGTATAATCAACCTTTTCCGAAGGATAGAAATAGCAGCCCCATCTTCAACTCATTTAATGCTTCTTGAAAATGTAAGTTGAAAATGTAAGTTGCATTATTCTGCCTTTTGCTTTTCTCCGTCTTTTCTTATTATTCTCTTCCATCAGAATCTTCTTCTATTCCATTCTTCCTCATCCATTTTGATTTTTCTTTTATCTTCTTCTTATTTCGACTCTGCTTCTTCTCTTTTATTCTTTTCTTTTCATTCCACGAAGAAGCTGCTGGCAAATGATGAAGGGGGAAGATGGCACAACATTTTAGCCTTTAGAGTTTTGCATTTGGCGTGTTAAAAACTTAAATCTCGTGGGTCTTTAAAACACTTCTAATTTATTTGTTCCAAAAAAAAAAAAAAAACTAGACGTTGATGATCAGGTGCTCGCAAAGCCTTATGGTGATGGTGCACCAAAGCGAGGAATAGCGCGCCAAGGCATGTGCCTGGTTGAAGGCGCTCGCCATGGCTACATTAAAGGCGTAGGAGGTCTTGAATACCTCGCCCCTGCCATAGATGCGCCTTGAAATCATTGGTTGTTAGTTTTGTTTTCTATCTTTTCCTTTATCCCTCTGGGGTTTGTATCTTCAACATTTTTCCTTATATGAAAAGATTTCCTTATATGAAAAGTTGTTTCTTTTTTTATTATTTTTTTAAAAACTAATATTCTTAACTACCAGGCTGAAAGAGAAGGAAAAAAATGCACAGCTCTTACAAGACAAGTATGACATTGCTGCTAATGCTGCCCCACGATGCATGGCTGTGCAACATATAGCAGCTTTCTGGAATGAAACCTCCAAAAGAGAACCAGATGCAGCTAATATTTCCTGCAATAGAGTACAGAAATCAAACAGCCATCAAATATTGCTTTCTCCTAAAGGATAAACGAAACCATACCTATAATATAAAGAAAACGAAAAGAGTAATAGAACTAAAAGAATAACCTTATGAGAGCATCGGATAAAGATTGATGCAAAATTTGTGTAAGCCTCCACTAGATCAGGTTCTTGGTCACATATATACGAGGAATTGATAGCAATTACAGATGCTGCATAAGTAAACCTTTCAAACGTGGTGATAAACAAATGCCCAAATTTTTCTTGATGACCATATTCTTCAACAATAACTGAAGCTGCAAATGACAATGTATTAAAAAGTTGATCAGTACAAATTCTACCTGTATGTTTCCACAAATTTAAGGAGTGGAGAGTTTCTCAATGAAATAGCTTAACGAAAAACAATTCATAACCAAGTCCCTGGAACGATCAAATCATAATCTTTCACAAACATTTACTAGAATTTTGGGAAGAAATATAATGGTTATATTTCTTATCATTGAATCAAATACAGGGTTTTCTTAGAAGAAAGACGGAAAAAGTAACACATAAATATGGAGCGCAAATTGCTGATCAATGAAACGCCAGAATCCAACTGGCAATTGACCTGCATGTGGAGGCCACGAGCTGATGACAACTTCTGCTACCGTTCTCACACGCCAAGACATGAGTGTGTGCACCAGTGGTATTTCCTCTGATCAACCAAGTTTTGCTCGTTGTGCCATCCTATTCTTATTGGTATAGATGTTTCAATCATACCTGTTCAGTTGTTGCTATCGAAGGTAAAAAGGCCCGAGTGTACTAAGGTTTTTGGATTCATATCTCAAACTTTGTCCCAGTTTTTAAGGTTATGGCTGTGAAAATATCAATAGTGTTGTCCGAGATGATTTTAGTGATGTGAAAAGTTACAGAACGTAAGTTGAATGGATCCAACTTGCAGCTACCATGCATGGAGAACAATTGTTTGTCATTAGTCATCAGAAGAGTTTGGCTGCATGACGCTTCTACAGATCAAGATGTTTTTTAAACAAGAAATGAACATGTCATGTTATAGTGCTTATATTATTATATTTTATATTATTGTAATTATTTTAGTTACTTGTCCTTTATCTTCCTTTTACATTCTTTACTTCAAGTCAACCTTGAATACTTGTCTATATATATCTTTTAGTGAATGAAATGGAGTTATATGATCCTCTCAATCCTTTAGTCTTTACACATTGACTAAGGAAAAGATACGAATAATTGTTCAAAAATATAAACTTCAAAAGGGGGTGAGAAAAAGGAAATAGAAAAACATGCAAGGGAAGGGATATAATTGCATCCCAGCTAATACAAATTACATTAAAAGAGTAATTATCAAAAAAATTAGATATAGAACACCATGAGAAAGCCTTGTGTTTTTCCGAGTCAAAACAAACCTGCCAACACCTAAGCTTGTCCTAAAAAATATTTTGATTGCGTTCAAACCAAATTTCTGAATAATTGATTTGACACCAGTAATCCATGGTAAATGAGCTATGAGGAGATAAATTTGGACCATGCTGCAATTGAATAAGGTTATTCCTAGGATCTTTATCAAAGACCCAATAAAGATTGAAGATTTAAAGCAAATAAAACCAACAACCCAATGCATATAAAGACTGAAAGAACAAATGATTTAGACTTTTCACTATCCCAAAGAAATAATGAGCACACCTAGGCCTGTAAAACAGAGGACTTGAGCTTCCTTTGAAGAAATTCCTCTGTATTTATTAAGAAGAATCCAAATTAGTATATTGACTCTCTTAGGGCTCTTAGATTTCCAAATAGCAGCAAACAGATATTTGAAATGAAGAAAAGTAAGTAATATCATTACGTTTTTTTATCAACGATATCAAAGTGGTGTGTTAGGTTCTCGATCACGGGAAAATAAGAAGACAACTATATTGGAATATCAAGGAGACGTTAAAATATCGATAGCCATTCGAGAGGGCTATCTCTCTTCCAAGAACTATGCCAAGTTCCTCATCTTAAACTATTTCCCAAGATCCCCCCTTCTCTCCCTCCTACTCTACCTCTATATATATTCAACTTAACCCTAACTAATTACCATAATGCTCCTAACTAATATACTAATATTATTCCCCAAACTAATCAGTATTGTAACTCCATGGTTTTTTGTTCTTCCTTTTGCATCAATGGTATGACTTCTTACATATATATAAACGTGTATATATAGGTATTTATGTATATATATAGATATATATGTATGCATATATATATATATATATATACATGTCAGGATGCACCAAGTAAAAGGAAACTCAATATTAAATATGAACCAATGCCAAAGAGCAGCCACCAATCGAGAAAGGAAAAAATCTTGTCACGTGGAAAATAATAAGCATGGTGTGTAATAGAAAGGTTCATATAAAATGTAGATCTTTCACAATTATTGAAGTCTAATTTGCACGTTCATGTAAAATGTAGATCTTTCACAATTATTGAAGTCTAATTTGCACATATTAAGACTATAGGGTGCAGCTGCGAAGTTCTATTGAACAAAACAAGTTGAGAAGAGAGATATCTTTTCTTTTTAAGAAACCAAACATTTCATAGATAATATGAAATTAAAAAAGGGGAGGAATACAAACCAGATGCCAAGACGGGCAGGTTTTGTCATTTCTTCAAAACTTAGAAATCTCAAAACGGTTCTTAAGCAGTGGAATATTCAAAATGAAAAGAAGAGGAAAGAAGCAGAAGAGAAGATTATTTCGGAGATTGCTTTACTTGATGAAACAGATGAGTCCGTGGGAGTTTCTTTGGCAGAGGAGGAGAGGAGAGTTTCATTGAAGAAGGATCTTTTGAATTTATTCTTAAATGAAGAACAATATCTGATCCAGAAGTGTAAGATACATTGGCTGAAGAATTGGGATGAAAACAGTAAATTTTTTCATAAATTTTTGGCTGCTCGGAAAAGAAAAGCACAGATTACTGAGATAAAGAACTCCCAAAATATATCCCTGCTAAATCAGAGGGAAATTGAAGCAGAAATCATTGGGTTTTTTGAAAATTTGTATAAGGGAGAGGCTGTCCAAAGATTTTCTCCCAAAGGGATCAACTGGAGACCCATCTCGAATCATTACAGTAACTGGTTAGAAAGACCATTTGATGCTCTTGAAATTTGGTCAGCTATTAAATCTCTTGGGAAAAATAAGGCCCCTGGACCTAATGGCTTTACCATTGAGTTTTTTGCCAAATTTTGGCAACATTGGAAAGGGGATTTTGCTCGACTTTTTGCAGAATTCTACACAAGTGGTATTATAAATGCTTGTATCAAAGATACTTACATTTGTCTTATTCCTAAGAAGGATGTTGTGGACAAGGTTAAAGACTTTAGGCCCATTAGTCTTACGACCTCCACATACAAAATTATGGCTAAAGTCCTCACCGAGCGGCTTAAGAAAGTTATATCCAGCACAATCTCCATTAATCAGAGCGCTTTTTCATTGAGGGTAGACAAATTCTAGACCCGATATTGATAGCAAATGAGGCCGTGGATTTTTACAGATTACAGAAAAAGAGAGGTTGGCTTTTAAAGCTAGACATTGAAAAAGCTTTCGATAAGGTGGATTGGGATTTTCTGATTGCTGTCCTTAGGAAGAAAAGATTTGGAAATAAATGGATTCAGTGGATTAATCGATGCATTCGAGGAGCTAAATTTTCAGTCTTCATAAACGGTAGGCCTCGTGGAAGAATTCTGGCTTCGCGTGGCTTACGTCAAGGTGATCCCCTTTCACCATTTTTGTTTTTATTGATCAGTGATGTTCTAAGCAGCTTAATGGAAAACATCCACGATAGAGGTTTGTTTGAAGATTTCATTGTGGGGAGCAATTCGGTGCATATTTCTCATTTAAAATTCGCGGACGATACATTGTTGGATGTCCTTTTCGATACTATAAAGACATTTGAATGGCTTTCGGGCCTTAAAGTAAATTGGGAAAAATCTTCACTGTGCGGAATTAATATTGACCTTCAAAGGGTGGTTAGGGTTGTAAAGAAGTTTGTTTGTAAGTTTGAAACATTGCCTATTGTTTACTTGGGACTACCTTTGGGTGGAAATCCTAAAAATATTGATTTTTGGAATCCCATTAAAGAAAAAATCATGAAGAAGCTCGATAGATGGAAAAAGTACCAGCTTTCTCGTGGAGGGAGGTTGACTCTGTCTCTCGATTCTTGGCAGCATTCCATTGTACTTTTTATCAATATTTCAAATGCCAGTTCTTATTAGCAAACAGATTGAGCAAAGTTTGAGATCATTTTTTTGGGGAGATAGTCAGAAGAGTACATTGAAACACTTGGTTAGGTGGGATATTGTCTCTCGTTGCAAGGAAGAAGGTGGTTTGGGTATTGGGAGATTGTTGC